AGATAGTTCTAATATTATAGATAATGAAATTCTGAATAGATAAATAGATAGATATGTAATAAAAAATTTGATTTTGGGGCTCTATTCTTTTTAGTCTTCAACGTTTTTCAAATGGAACGAGCGTTCAACCCTAAATTTAATCCAAAAATAATTTTTTTCACAGAAATGCTTCCATTTTTAAAAAGGCTTTTTCCAAACCAATGGTGTTGCGTAAGACCTAATGGTTAGGTTTCTCGCTGCCCAACTCTCGATCGCCCTGCAACCTACCCAACCAATTTCAGCCTCGTCGTCACCGACCAATGGATCAATGGTGCCAACAATTCCCAATGAGGGGTAAACGATTTTCAATTGCACACAGACAAACATCTGGAATATTCGTTCAAAGCCAGTGTTTTTGAATTAAAAAATGTGGAAACGTGCCGAGACGATCACACTTCCTCGCGCGTTTCAACATTTAACCATGGTTGCCTCCTTTTTTCCCATTCGACCCTAGAGCATTCCTTTAAAAAAAAAGCTAAAAAAAAAACAAAAAAACAAAAAAAAAACATGGTAGAAACTCTTTTTTTTCTGTTTCTTTTAATTGAACACATAACGGAGTTGAATTGTTGGTAGTGAAGAAGGTGTATCAACATGTCTTATAAGCTATTAGCTGAATTTTGATCTGAAATGTTCACTGTATAATACGCAGTCTATGCGGCTAATGAGAAGCATTCGGATAAGCGCAAAGAAGGCGATTATGTTTGTGTTACGGGACCTTACCCATAATAACATAATGGACCATTCCATACGTAATAAATACTGCGCCTCAAGAAGAAGCAGGGAGTTCAAGTCCGGAGTTCAGTCTGAAGTCTGGAGTGAAGTCCGTCAGGAGTCTGTCAGTCAGTCAGAGCGAGTCAGTCAGTCGAGTCAGAGGCAGTCCGAAACAGAGTTACGTTCAGACAATTACTACTAAACCTGATTGTTCGTACTAACTATTTTCTACCTCTCTGTATATATTCCTGTTTGTAATATATTTGTGTTATTCCATATCCGTGTTCGAGTTCTTCTTTATTGGTTCTACCTTGGACTATCACCGTGGTACTAGGAACCGGATCATTTCCACTAGTACCAATTCAAACCATTACAACCAAGACCGACTTTGCTACATCCACAGGGTTGAATTAATTCACATTCAGTATATATTCCTATGGTAATAATAATTTTCCTTTAAATTCTCAAGAACCGCTACCTTGTGGAATAGACTCCCACGTGGTTGCTTCCCAAAACACCATCGTCTTAACCTCTTCAAATTAGAGCCAATCATTATCGCTATATAATCGTAATCTTTATTTCCAAAATCCGCCTTTTACGTTCATATCATTAATCAAATTCTAAGTCTTATATTATTCTTGTGCCTTGTATTGGTTGAGTATTATATAATCCACGAATTGGATAAGTGCGGCATAAGGAAATATTAGCATAGAATTTACGGTTACGTCTAAAAGATTCTAACATTAAATTGCGAGAAAAACAGTCAGTCTTATTCTAAGTCTTATTCGACTTGACAAAGGAAAATTTACTTTTATAAAAAATCCTGGAAATTTTATTGTGATATGTCAGGAGAAACCAGTTCTTCACAATTTTAAATAGAAAAATAAATTTTTTTTACGAACAGATATGATCCATACTGATAATATATATATATATATATATATATATATATATATATATATATATATATATATATAAATTAAAAATATTATAAAGAGGAGATAGCGCAAACGTTTTGGTTGTAATGTGGATTTTTTTTAAATATTATGCTTTATTTTCCATAATTTTACTACACGTGTTTCTGGTCTCGCGACCGTCATCAGGTAAATGGTGGAATTTCCACATATTATTAAAAATAATTAATTTTTTCCTCCTTTATGTTTTTCGATGTTAAATATTCTCGATATGAGACATTCACTTTCTATGTGTTAGTAATCCGAATGTCTTTCTTGAATTGGCAGTGAAAGAGTTCTGCGATGGGTCATAAAACAATTAAGATTGGTCCAAAGAAATGAATGAATTTCTTATATTTTCTTATCTTTCAATATTTTTTGACCCTGTGTGTTCTTAGATCTATTTCCATTTTCGTCTGTTTCTTTCAGCAACCTGAGCGTATATAAATCTATATATTTCTCTCCATGAATACACATTGTCTCACTACGAGAATTTGTTAAACACATTTTTTACAATTTGAATATATATGAATATATATATATATATATATATATATATTTATATATATATTGCACATATATATATACACATATATTGCACACATACTTCCCATATACATGGAACCATATATATTTACATACAAATACATACACACATATATACGAACATCATACATACACACATAAATAATTAGTTGTGTGGGGTTTTGTGTGTCCCCGTGAGTGTTTCCTTTCTTTTTTCAACATGTTATATATATATATATATATATATATATATATATATATATATATATATATATATATTTTGTTCAGACTTTCTTGCATGTGTTAAATGTATATGAGTGATTTGATAACTGTATTTGGTCACCTGTATGCATGTTGTGTGCTTTTGCGTGTGGGGTTATGATCTATTTAGTTCTGGTTTAAATTTGTTTATGAATTTTTTTTTCTTATATATATATATATATATACTGACACAACCTCTGCGTAACCTTACCCCTTCCTTCATATTACGCTCATCATTCAGTAAGTGTCTACTTTGAGTGGCTCTTGGGGCTCATGTTGGTTGAGGTTGAAGTAAATGAACGCACAAAGATGCTTGTAAGTTTCATTATCATAGGGATTCTGTAGAACCCTCAGCGTAATATTGGGTTCCGTGTCAAGGAGATTATCCTAAAATGCATAAAATATTTAGCAAGCGAATGATCCAATTGGAGTAAAGTGCCATACAGATTTAAATTTTTCCCACTTGTGACGAATACAGCTATCGAATTTTTTTGCATGCTAGTATGCTAGTTAACATTCGTGTCAGTCAGCTGTTGGCTCTCACGCTGGCCAATAGAATCTTCCTGTCTATTTGTGGCAGCCAGCTATAGGCTCTCACTTTGGCCTGTACAAAATGGCCGCAAACTTTATTCCACTGCCGTAGGAAGCATGAAAAATCGATTATTTCCACTATCGATGGGAGTTGGGAAATGCCAAGTCGGTAAAAAAATTCCCGCTAACTTGGAGCATGTGCATATAAATTTTGGTGCAAATCCGTCGAAAATTGCGGCCGTGCATTCGTTTCACACACACACACACATACACACACACACACACACACACACACACATTTCACCATATATTATATATATATATATATATATATATATATATACATATTCGTTATATTTATGTATTTATAAATGTATCAGTATGGATCATATTTGTTCGGAAGAAAAAGAAAAAAAGATGACTTTCCTATTTAAAACTGCGAAGAACTGTTTTTTCCTGACCTAGCATTACATGTATTTTTTTTTCAAATTGCAAACTGCAAGAATGCACTCTGAAATTTCCAGGAGCCTTACTTGTAAAAGTAATATTTTATTCCCGGATCGATATACATAGATAGTTTCCAGAAGATATTTTGTAGTGTATACGAATGCTTAAAAGAGACAAAATTTTCATGGTGCTTTGCTTTGATAACGGTACACCGCCTTGGGTTTGAAATTATAAGTGGATATTCCGTAAAAAACCATCGCAACGTGTCTCCATATTTTATCACTGTTAAAAACTTATATATATATTATATATATATATATATATATATATATATATATATATATATATATATATATTATAATTCTTATCGAAAAAAATCGGTATTTGTTCTCTCAATTCATTCAGTTTCTTCGTAGTAACCCATTTTTTCTCTCTCTCTCTATCTCTATATATATATATATATATATATATATATATATATATATATATATATATATATAT